CGGTGTATGAGTGTGTGCATCCCTCCCTCTGGAGCCAGGAGGATTAGCAAGATCCAGCATGGAGCTAGAGCATGGAAGAGTGCTGTTGTTTCCCATTTAGAGTTATTATCTTCTGAGTAGTATTTCTTAGTTTTAGTAAGAGGGTATGTTATTGAGCCAAACGATCATCCCTGACRTGGAAGGGATATATTAATTTTTGTAGCTATTCTTGGGGCTGTGTCTAGTTCCCATGCAGCAGATTTTGCCACTGTTTGTGCTGGTCCAGCACGATGCAGCCTTTTACTGTGTAGTAATTGTACCAAGTTCTGCCTTATTATCCCCACCTCCTATGGATCTTAACCATTTCTGTGGGRATGAGTTCAGCATGGCCTTTACTGCCAAATAGCTATAATGTTTTTCACTTTATTATATAGTAATCATATGACTAATCCAGCAGCAAATAGCTATCATAATATTCATTATGCCCATCAGATTGTCATCCTTTATATATGTCCTGTCTTATACATGGTATGATGTACTTTGCAACCAAAGGGATATGGAGTATTTGGGTTAGAAACAAGAATTATTAGCATTTGTTCGGTTTGGCCCAGAGTTATGGCTGGTTTTCCTTCAGTTTATGCTGTGCCCTCATATGTTCATTAGTGACCTGTGGTTCAGGTAGCCACACAAACTGTTAACCCTGTCATCTTATATCTCTTACCAGTGTGTTTGTGACATGATAGCAATTCTTAAACCATTCGCAGGTTCAAGACTACTATAGCAAATCAGGACTGCAACTGAGAAAAGAAAACACATCGCAAATGGGGAATTGTTATTTTGAGGTGTTCTGGCACGGGCATGCACAGGAGCTGATCTGGAGAATCACTGTTAAGTTCARACTCTGAGGCATCTGAAATCTGCCAGATTTCTTGAGGAATCTGATTGTATTTCTCCTGGTTTGAAAAGACATCACTATATTGTCACTTCTGCACAAGTGAAAAGGATATCAGAATTTTCAACAAGAAATAAATAAGAGGTTATTTGTGCTTTATTGCTATTTTCATGAATACTTAAAATGACAAGTTTTTCCTGCTGCATAGCTGAAACAGCAGGAAATTGTAAAGCCATGCCCAGACCACAACTTTACAGGCACTTTCTATACATCACCTTATATRTTATAGTGTCAAACAACTTTAATACAGTACAGAGATCTTTGCTAGTACAGACTAGGAAAGATCCCTAGTCTTTGGGAACTTTGTTGTTTCCCTCTGTTGGGAAATTTTCCCAACATTGGCAGATAGGGTGGAACAGAGACAACAAAATCTTAACAGACTTCGCAGCCAGCAATAGAGTGAATCTTCTTTGAAGATCATAGAMAAGGGTTAATAGTCAACATGAATAATGCAGAGAGTTCCCTGCCCTCATTTTGAGATTATGAAATGTCCTTTGTAATCTGGAAGTTGCTGGGCCTGTGAAGCTGCACAGGGTGACAGTGTGTATCACTCTAGAAACCTGTAATTGGATTTCATAATATCAAAAGAAGATGCAAGAGAGTTCTCATTATAGGAGATGGCACTTATTTTTCTATAATAAAGAAAAAAGTAGATACCTAATGTATGCCTTGTTCTGACCTCCATTGCAAAATTCACCTGAAAAGACCTAATGCACTTAAGATTTTTCTTGCATAATTCATGGATGAGGGAGAATATATGAAAAAAGTGAGGTTGATTTTGAGACAAGYACTTAAAATCTTTTTTTGTGTGACTTTAGTGTATGGCGCATGATTCACTTCCAGCACTGGGGCATGTTGCAGTTATGGTCAGACTTCAAGGGCTGTCTTCTCATGAACACTAACTCAGATCAGCAAGGGGACCAGCATGGGCTCATCCCGTTGTGCCACCAGTGTTGGTGAGTCTGGGTAGAGTGTGGATACGCCGAAGACACCACCCCGTGAGAAGCTCAGTGTTGGCTGCATAAGCTGCTAGCAGTGAAGCAGGTCACCATGTGGTGGGGGAATGGCCCATAGTGGGTAATGGCTTCACAAAACATGTGGGAGGAAAGTGGGGAGGGAGGTCACTGTGGAGAAACAAGAGGAGGGCACAAAACCATTGACTGCCGAAGGCACGTGGGGAGAAGGTGAGCTGTGATTCTGGGGAACTGGGCATCTCGACTCTGAGGTCTCATTCCTGTGAGAGGGCTAGGGGGCAGCTGAAGCCCCAAGAGAGGCACAAGAAGAGCCTGTGCTGCCACCTGTGACTGCCATCTAGGTTTCATCGCCCAAGAGGGGCTCTTGGGGAAGGCTTATGCCAGGCTGAGGCCCCAAGGGCTGTTTGCCTCTTGCTTGCCCTCCTTGACATCAAAACCCTTCATAACAAACACCCTTCTTCAAGGCAGCTTCTGGTGGATGCCTGTGTAGGAATCCAGGCTAACAAAGCCTGGGCTCACAACACRCAACTACAGCGCCTCTGCACTTTGCTGCTACTGGCTTTGTTTAGGGTTACAAAAGGATCTGTAAGAAGGCTGGTGTTTCTTGAAAGGTCAGTTTCCTAATAAACTGCAGGAGAGACTGGCTATGAAGAGACACAGAGCAGCAATAACATAGAACTACTTGGTTATTGCTTTTGACCAATCTGAGAAGGACAAGAGGAGGAGAAAGAAATAGTACCAACTTGTGCAAGAAAATGCAGTATGACAGAGTAGTATGAAATGTTTAAAAATGGTGCTGGTCTTGATGTAGACTATTATGAGCTGTCTAACGACTCTGGAAAATGAATGGAATGTCGTGATATATCAAAAATGCAGGGAGAAGATTTGTCTTACCTGGAATACAATGATCTGTTCTGGGTATTTCTCCACACAAATTGATCTAGCAGGAACAGTTAGATACAGACAAGACAGAACAGGAAAATAACCCCAAGATGAATCTCATGAGAGAGACACCAAAGACTGAAAACTGTAAAAAAGTTACAACTAAGCATTTTTGTAAGAGACTTACTTGAAAGACTTCAAATGAAAAAGTACTTTACTGAACACATAATTGACCTGTATAGCACCCACATTAAGATCAATGCATAAAGATTGGTGCTTTAAATGACTTTTTAAAAAATAAGCACTTTAGTAGGATATGGGGACATTCAAATTTAGTTCAGAAAAGATAAAGATGTGACATATTTTTATGTGAACATGTAACAGTAGAAGTCTTTTGAGTCATAAGCTGGGGAGTAAATGATTCAACAACAACAACAAAATGCACATTTATAAGTGAATTGAAACCCAACTGTCCATCCATTTTGCAGTTTTCCTCACTTTTCCTCTTTSCATGAACCATCAAGTGCTTGTTTGCCTCAGGAGGCTGAGCTAAATGGAGTGTTGATCTYATTTAACATGACAAATCCTACTAGTCTTTACTTATTTCTTTCTGTGAGTTTTCTTGAAAGAATGGCACTTTTTTAATACTGCCAATGTGTGAATGGGCTATACCTAAGTGTATAACATCGTTTTATCTGTGGTGTTGCTTTGCTTCTGAGTTTGTGCAGGCTCTATAAATGTTTGAGTTTTAAACATTTGATGATTTTGAAGGAGCAATTATTACCTGGTGTTCAGCTTATAAATGCCAAAATATGGTAGTCTCTAAATCATGTCTAACTTTATAATCAGTAACTAAATTATCAGATATGCTACATGAGCCTATCCAGCAAGTCTATTCATCTCCTCTCCTTGACAGATTAACAAAATGACTTTATTTTAATAAAGGTAATATAAATAGTTCCCTTTTTGTGAACATCCTTTTCTCATAATAAAGAGCATCTTAGTGCTGCAGTTGCAATGCTTTTGAGCATGAGAGTTGCAGCTGAACAAGGCAAATGAGGGCCCAGTTTAATATTGAGCAGAATCAGCAGGGTGCTTTGTGGGCCTCTGCCCTGGAGAGGCTGCAGYGCAAAGAAGCAGTAAGAGATTCACAAAGGCAGGAGGCAACAGGAGGAAATGGCTGCACACTGACGTAGAGCATCTCCCACCTTGGTTCTCCAGTGTCCTCTGCTCTAATGTATGGCTGTRCTGTTTGTTTCCAATGACTTTTGCACAGTTGAGGGCTAAGATGTATAGACTTTTTTTGAGGAGAAGTTGCATAAGCARTTCCCTGCTAGGAAAAAAATATGAGTCTGTTTCCTTACTGCTTGCCATACTCTCATAAATTGTGACCTTCTGCTCCAACTTGTCAAGAGAATTGTTCCTAAGCAGTGGCTCTGAATCCCGAATTACAAACAAACACTGGTGGCTTTTCACTGCTGTTGGAAGATGGCATYCTCTTACTGCTGCTGGTTGAGCTGAGTGTGTGTTTGCTTCTCGGTGTGCTAAGAGGCACACTCTATATTACCATATTTCCTGTTAGCAGCTGAGGCACTGGTAGACAGTCCCTGCAGCCAAGTTTCATGTGCTGTGGCAACCTCATGGGAATGACAGAGCAGGTGCTACAAGGYGGCATTTGCTTGAGCTGCTTCTGGCAGTTGGGAAAGTCTCAGTCAGGTTTAGTCCAGGTAAATGGCAGACTGGTTTGAGTGTTTAGCTTAGCCCAGCCTAGCTGCAAGTTTCTCTGTAGTGCAGTCTTTCTGCTCCTATACTTGTCTGTGGTTCTGGGTGAGCTCTGGGCCATTCCTGGAGGAACATTGGGTCTGTCCTTCAGGAAGGACTATGAGAGAGGGGTTCCCTGCTCCTGACCAGGCACTACTTCCTTCTCCAAAATAAGATTTRATGACATTAGATTGACAATTTTGAAATATAAAAATTCTTCTGGATATTTATCTGTTAATCACTAGCACTTCAGCTGTGTGCCTGGTTAGGAGAGACCTCCTTTGAATAGCACTTGTCGAGAACAGTGGAGTTCAGGCTTTGCARCAGTGGAGCAGTTCCTTGTCTCACAAAACACAACCAGTATCGAATTGATAAGTGTGGTCCCAGTGGCTCATACCTGCTCTGGTTTCATTCTCAGCTGCCTCCTAGGCCTGTCCTCTGTTTTGTTCCAGGCTATGGCCACACAGTGCCTTTATCTGACGGAGGGAAGGCCTTCTGCATCATCTACTCGGTCATCGGGATTCCCTTCACGCTGCTCTTCCTGACGGCGGTGGTGCAGCGCATCATCGTGTACGTGACCAGGCGGCCTGTGCTCTATTTCCACGTGCGCTGGGGCTTCTCCAAGCAGGTTGTTGCCATTATCCACGCTGTGATCCTTGGCTTCATCACTGTCTCCTGCTTTTTCTTTATCCCAGCAGCAATATTTTCTGTTCTAGAAGATGACTGGAATTTTTTGGAATCTTTTTATTTTTGTTTCATTTCCCTGAGCACCATTGGCCTTGGAGACTATGTGCCAGGAGAGGGCTACAATCAGAAGTTCCGGGAGCTGTATAAAATTGGAATTACATGTAAGTATCCAACATTCCTGTATGCTATCAAAATTTTTTGAGTTTTCTCCATTCCATCAACTGCAGTGATTTTGCTAGTTGCGGGCTGGCAAACTGGACAATGTAGCCAATTGTGCAAAGAAGAGAGTTTTAAATAAGGTCAATTTTCGGAGTTAAGAAAGAACAAGCTGAGAATAGAATGCCTGTGTGCTAAATCACAGCTGGCAGCTCTCATTAATAATAAAAAGATAAACAGTATTATTGTCGTTGTTTTGAAAATGCTTAGGAGCATGTCAGGACTAACATTTCACAGTGCATCTCAGAGCCTTAAGATGGTCCTTGTGACTCAAGGTTATCTCATGAAGGTGAGAGGAAGGGGAACGAGGCAGAAGAAAAACATTTCTTGCTGTGATTGTAACAGAAGGTAGCTGAGGCTGGCAGTGGGACATGCCAGCTGTCAAGGCTATGAACATGACCATTAAATTTGAACAATAAAACTGTCTAACTGGTCTTGACATAGAAGAGAGGCACAGTGATCAATGATTTGATCCAAGAATAGAGCTAAGAAAAATGCTTATTGACAGTCTGGATAAGTAATATTCTCTAGACACAGCGAAACTTTTTCTGATAGAGCTTCAGTCTGCATGGTCCTGGATCTTCATAGAATCATAGAATRCCGAAGGTTGGAAGGGACCTCAGAGGTCATCTAGTCCAACCCCCCTGCACACGCAGGGTCACCTAGAGCACGTGGCACAGGGCTGCATCCAAGCAGGTTTTAAAGATCTCCAAAGAAGGAGACACCACAGCCTCTCCGGGCAGCCTGTGCCAGGGCTCTGTCACCTTCACTGTCAAGAAGTGTTTCCTCAAGTTCCTGTGGAACTTTTGGTGCCTCAGTTTGTGGCCATTTCCTCTAGTCCTGTCACTGGCCACCACTGAAAAGAGGCCGCCCCCTCCTCCTCACTGCCTCCCTTGAGGTATTTACAGACACTGATCAGGTCCCCCCTCAGCCTCCTCTTCTCCAGGCTGAACAGGCCCAGCTCCCTCAGCCTTTGCTCATAGGGCAGATGTTCCAGGCCTCTGATCATCCTGGTAGCCGTGCGCTGGACTCTCTCCAGCAGCTCCACATCCCTCTTGTACTGGGGAGCCCAGAACTGGACACAGTCTCCAGATGTGGCCTCACCAGGGCTGTGTATAGGGGGACAATCACCTCCCTCGACCTGCTGGAGATGCTCTTCTTAATGCACCCCAGTGCCTTAAGAGCTTCTTAATGTTAACAAGTGCTTAACAAGTACTTCTTAACAAGTGCTTCTTCAGAAGACCAAAATAAGCCCTTCCTGATGCGTCTGTTTCTTAGGCTAGTATACTGTGCTCCTGTCCAACAATCTTAATTTAGACAAAATGTCCATTCATTGCAGTTTGTGTTTTGGGTTTGCATGCATTGAAACGGTGTCTTCACCTGGTCAGGACAGCACTTCAGCTCCTTGCTGGGCCCATCCACACTGTAAGAGACTTTTCCCCACTCCCAAGAGGGGAAAAGGGGGTTGTTTATCTCCCTACCAGGAGCTTTTAATAATTACTTGGCTGATCTGCACAGTTAACTTGAGGATGCTAAATAATGAATGAATAAATATTCACTAAATAGTGAATAGTGCCAGAGCCAGGCATAACGAAGGTGTTTAAAAATTCTAGCAGCTCTGCAAAATCAGAAGCAAAAGAAAGCATTATGGATGAAACCCTTTTCACTTCTTTTTTTTTTTTCCTTTTATCTGCTAAGTCAAAAGTGCCATTTTTGGACAAAGACAGGCTTTTAGTTATACTTCAAGATTTGGAATAATTAGGTAATAAATTGAAGGAAAATCTGAAAAATAAAAGGCTTTTTTTAGTGAGTGTTTTCCAAAAATGTTGAAATTCAATATTTTAAAATCATAACTTGTGGCTTTTTCACACGTGAAAATGTCTGTCTGTATGTATACAGTCAGTATTGTATGTATACAGTGTTTTGCTCTTTCTGAATCTATATTTTCTCCAAGAAAACTTCTGGCCAAGAACTTCACCAAGATTTGTGTCTTGGTTTAATGAATGTTTAATGAATAGACTCATATAGACTATAGACTTTTCAAGAATTAATGGAAAAATACCAGCCTCCTACTAAATCAAGTTGTGATCAGCTGGACTGAGTTTCAGGAATAATTGCAAAATTCTTAGTGCAGATTTATAGAAGCCTTTTAATTGGCATAGCTTTGTCATTAGCTCCCCAGGCTAATGCATCACTTCTATTTGATTTCATGAGGTACAGCTGAAAAACAGCTCATAAATTTTAGCTGTAGTGTTGACTTAGACCAGGATCCAGTATTGCAATATGGAATTGATGGTGCTCCTGGAAGACAGAGGGGTGTTAATGCCATTGAACTACCTATGGTCTGTAACTACATGTAAGATATTTATGCTTTTTGGTAACAAAATGTTGCCCACATGTAGATTATAATAATTAATCTRTGTTGATTTTTCAGTACATTTAATGATCGGTCTTTGGAAGAACWTGTACTTATTATCCATTCAGTTTCAGGGGATTTATTATGCATTTCATGTGATTTATTATGCACTCAACTTTACTTGATTTACTCAGTGGAATGATAAAATATTAAGATAGGCTTGTTGTTAGCGTGTAAGGATCGGTTGCAAGGAGCTGGTGATGACACAGAGATTAAGAAATGCTCATTTCAACATCTTCCTGGGATTCCAGGTACAAGTGTTTGGAGAGGAAACAGAAGAACATAGTGATGAAAGCTAGGTTTCCAAAAGTGACAGTCTGTGATACATAACTACTATCTTTAAAAGGCAGAATCAGTATGTCACTAAAGTCATCACTAATGTTGTTTAAGTAACAGTAGCAGGACTGGGTAGTGTATCTACTGTTAGTAAAATTTTGCAAGTAATCTTCAAGGTTTCATCAGATGTAGAAACTTTGTCAAGTTTTTAAAAACATCACCAGTAATTTTACATTAATTCTAAATTTGTAGTGCTCTTGTACATGTTCGTGTTCTTTGTTTTTGCACTTATTTTAGTGTCAGTTTTATTTCTATAATTTTAAAGGAAAATACTCCAAAAATTGATGAAATAAGTGATCTGTCTTGCTAAACTGATACAAATAACAAAGAAAAGGCAGGAAAGGATTTGACAGTCCAAAATGGGTAACAAAACTCTGAAAATGAGGCATAAGGRAGCTTAAGATACTGTTCAGAGAAGATGAGCATGAGAAAAGCTACGAGTTTAGAATTCATCCCTGTTTTGCTTAATAATTAAAGCACTTTTTTTTTATCCCTAGGTTACCTGTTGCTGGGGCTTATCGCAATGTTAGTGGTTCTCGAGACTTTCTGTGAACTCCACGAGCTCAAAAAGTTTAGGAAATTGTTTTATGTGAAGAAGGACAAGGAGGAGGACCAAGTGCACATAATGGAACACGACCAGCTCTCCTTCTCTTCCATCTCAGACCAGGCAACCTCCATGAAGGAGGATCAGAAGGCGAACGAGCCTTTTGTGACTTCTCAGTCCCCAACCTCCAATGACAGCTCAATAAACAATTAATACAGGGGCATCTAATCTATTGTTTTGGTGCATTTATGCTACTTACCATAAGAAATAGAACGCCTCTTCTTTTACACAAATATAAAAGCTGGAAGACTGTGCTGCTTTAACCAGGATTCATCACTTCCGACATAGGAAAGACTTTTAGGAAAGCTGTGGGAGCCACCCTGGGAGAATAGGGAGAAGCAGTAGGATGTGGCTGGGAACTTAGGCCATTTTGCTTGAGGAGTGAGGAGTTGGTTGTACTGCTTTCAAAGGTGCCACAGAGAAGGGCTTGCACAAGCAACCTCATACAATGTATTTAGGAGAGCAGGATTTCACTGATATTTATTTGGTTGTATGCCGTATCTTGGAACTGGCTGAAATTGAGAGAGATGTTGCTTGTCTCYGAAGTAATCGCACATTTAATCCAAATACAACAGCTATCCTCATCTGGCAAACATGTCCAGAGCAGTATCTACCACTCTGCTGGAGGGAAGTATCATCTAGATGATCCCTCTGTTGCCCAGTGACATCTAAGTGCAAACAGTGCAAATTGAAAAGCAAGGCCCAGTTTCTTCCTCTGCTCAGGGCATTTACATTCCAATATTCTGCTTCCTTCCCCTGATCACCAGAATAAAGCTGACCTGAACAGAGTTTGCCCCARGTCTTCTTCCTGATGCTCTTCTGCTTTGGGTGAAACGCTTCCATAAACTCAGGTGTAGTAAGACTGGCTTGAGACAGGGTTTTAGGGAAGGGAGACGGCTGCATTTCAGTCCTCTCCTCTGAAAAGATAGGAATATTTTATTTAAATAAGTGGAGCAATTTGAGCAAGAGAACTGAAATTCAGTGCATGCCGTATTCAGCATAGTCACCTGCTTAAGGCGTTCTACTGTGAGAGGGATGAAATCTGTTCAGCAGAGGAAGGACTCAGCCCAATTTCTTCCACAATCCAACCCACTGTGTGCTCTCTACTGAGCTCTTAGGTAAATGGAGAAACAGAAATCCTGTCAACTTCATGAACGTAGGTAGCCCTTTGACTTCTTTTGCTTTTCGGACAAGTACTCAGTGCGCCTTGTTTGGAGGAGAATAGAATCTTTTGGGCAAAACAAACAATTTTTCAATTTTTCATATGGCAAGAAAAAAGGAAAAATGTCACATTTGGTTCAGATGGAACCGATTTTTTTTCCCCTTGGGAAAAGTCACTAAAAAGCCAAGACCCCACTCAACTTCTGGAGATGGATTCTCTTTGGCTGTAATAGAGAGGCATTTTAGTCCAGGTACCAGTCACTGTGCTGAACGCAGGGATATCAGACTGAATTTCAGCGAGCAGGAGGTGAGACTAAGGAGTCATAGTACTCGCTTCTGGCCTTAAGAATTTACAAAATGGGTATTTTGCTAATTGCTTTGTGATGGGCGAAGGATCTGGAGCACAAATAGCCATATTAGGGCAGCCTCCCACATAGGACTAGTGCAGAGGAGAGCCTTTTTCCTGCAGTGCGAGCATGCCAGATTGCCTGTAGTTTGGCTTTTAGTGTTTAGAGCTGATCATTGATATTCTAGAGTAAAAGCAAAGCAAAGAATTGCAACGTATCTAGATTTAGCTCACATGGAAAAATACTTGAAAATKAATTACCCAAAATACTGTATTTGAGCTTAATTATAGCTAGCATTGAACAGACTTTATATCTTTACACAAAAAATACTTAAGGATTAAATCAGCTGAAAGTCTTCAATTAAAATTTATATTTGTAAGAACCAGAGCTAAAGGTTTTGGTTATTTTGGATGATTTAGATTAAGTGAAAGCATACTGTGTTTGCATGTTCCCAGGAAAGTGGCTATTTTTATACTGCTTAAGTTAAGACAGTTCTATTTATAATGAATGTTAGCCAATATATATGTACATATATACATAAGTATATTTATATACTGTACATATATCATAACTCAGAGTTTAACTGACTTAGGAATGACATTTTAGATAATGATTTTTTTTCCTAGTCTTCTCTTTATATGACGAATAACTGAAAACTATGTCTTTAAAGTGACTGACATAAGATAAAGAGTACTGTACTACAAGAAACATTTATACTGTTTGTTTGTTTTTCCAGTGAAGTTTTATTGTTTCCAATATCTAAAGATTCAAGACTTAATTGCAGTGTAGCATTAAGCTCTAAAGAAATGGTATGCACAGTTGCTAAATGATATTCAAGATAATTTTGCAATGTGTGCACCATTGCAAAATATAGACACTTAAAATGAAAGCACAGAATTCCAAGCAGAAGTGATAAACCAAGTATACTGTGACATAGGTGAATATTTCTTATTTTCAACTTAAATTTTAAAAAAATCAGCTTTTGGCTGCCTGCACTATGAAGTGGGGAGAATTTTCTTTGGCGCTGTGTGTTTCTGCATACTGTGCAAAATCCTGTTTGCATTTGGCAAGATGATGCATCCTTTAGTTACTCTTCCTCAACTGAAGGAGGGACCATTGATGCTGGAGTGTGTTATCCAACCTTAATATTGATTGTAGCCTAGCAATGTATTGATTATTTCTGTAGAAAAGCATTCCAAAGTGTGTGTGTTTTTGTTTCAGATGCTGACTGATTATAGCAAATAAAATACTAGTGGCATAACATTTATCTTGTCTTTATAAAAAGAATTATTCCTGTATTTGAGGAAATTAATGAAAAWCTGTCACTATTAGTTATCAGTAGCACCAATGAAGATTATAAGCTCCATATGCTATCAGTTTTTATATCTTCATGTGATACACCGATCATATCGACACACAAGATCAGAATGGTTAAAAACAAGAATCCAAATTAGAAGAAGAAAGAATATTGTGCAGCAATTTGTATGAAATGGGTGTCTGTCCTGATGGCAAACTGTGAAGCTGGTGCATGCAAACTGACGTGGAGAACTTGGCTAATGGAAAAAAAGAAGTGCCAAAAACCCTTGCAAGAGGTAGCCAGAAGGTGAGCAAGGGACTTTTACATGAAAGAAAATTGTCTAGGTCCCACCCTCCCTTCTACCCATCTATTTTCAGTTGGCCCAGGCTCATATCCCATTGGCTTACTGCTCTCCTAGGGATGACATTTCCCATCTCCTCTTTGTCTTTCAATCATTAAAAATAGCTAAGTTTTGTTACTGTCTCAATGGAAAGAACTGGTGGGCTATTTGGTTGTGTTTGGGGAAAGATAATTAATAAATCCACTAGAGATGTTTTTTTGGAGATGAGACATAATCCAGAGCTTGTCCTGTTCCCCGGGGACACCCTGTGGCACCTCGGCGCAGGTCCCTGTGCAGGTAATGAGGTGCCTTGATGAGGCTGGCGGGAACGAGCGTCACTCTGCCCTTCCCACGGGGCTGTTTCGGGGTGACTCGCGTTACTGCACGGGACGGCACTAACGCCTGAAGCRCCAGGGGCTGAGGGACAGCCTCATGAAACGGCCCGTTCCTTGGGCGCTGCTCTCCACTGGGCAGGTAGGAGCAATTGCTAAACCCTTTTAATCGACGCTAAATCCCACAGCTCCACGTTACCACTAGCTTTGCAAATGGTGGCTGGGAACGTACTGAGCTGAACCRCAAGTGGGCAAGATTCCCAGGTGCTAGAAACACTACCATCCTCCTCCYGTCCAGCTGTCACCTGTCCGAGGTCCTGCTTTCCACTGAAGCAAAATGAAGTTCCTAAAACTGGAAGCAGTTGTGTTCTGGTTGTGCACTAGCTCAAAAGAGCAGGGTTTCTTTTCTCTGTAAAGTGTTCCATCAGCAATGTTCTTCATTGCAGGATGTATTAAAAAGCTCCTAGGTAGCCAGGAGTTTCTTCTGCTTTCATGTGGCTTTTTTTTTTTTTTCTCAAAAAAATTATTTGGAAATCATCCTGACAGACTGTGTAAATCTGCATGCTTACCAATACTTATTAAGTATTTGACCCGTGTTATTATTTAATGCAGCAGTTGTTAGTCTCATCACTTCCTAAGTTACCATTTTACTTGCTTTCGACCATGGATTTCCTGCCCCTGCTGTTTTGAAAAGCCATTAAGTTGCCACTGATTATGACTGATGCAGAGTTACATTTCTGGTCATGATGCCGCTGTGTCATTCTCTGGCAAAAACTATTTAGCGTGGAAGTTTGGGCCAAATGACACATTCGGATAATGAGGAGGAGAAGCGTGTCTGGGAATAGGTGCAGGGGCTGACAGCCCATGCTTCTGAGTGGCACAGTGCTGAGCTTGTCGTGAGGGAAAGCATAAATCAGAGTGATTGAATGTCAGAATAAAATCATCGTGACAGCCCGTTATGTGACTGTGTGGTTTTCACCATACGTCATTCCTTGTCACCATGAGTAAGCAAAAAATAATTCTGGAAGAAGGAAAGGGGAATGATATGGACAAAACTACTCAGAAACTAAGTTCAATAGAGTTAGGCTGTATCATAATTTGCCTGTAACCTGTAGCTCTCTGTTACTGCAATTGCACTGCACCAGACCTGCGAGAGGAGGCACAGCCTGTATCACCTCAGCCTTTCCAGAGAGAAAGAGAGCGTGTTTCACCTCGCTGATCCACCTTCCTTCCCGGATTGCAGGCTCTCTGGAAAGAGAAGGGTGAGCCCTGCTGCAGCTACATAAATGGGGAAAGCCACTGTTCTAGAGCTCAAGGCTCCCAGAGCCATTTTGTGCTCGTCGCAGAGGCCATAGAGTCTCGTTGAGGCTCGCAGAACTGGGGGTCTGAGGCTCTCTATCTCTCACAAGGCCTATTTTTGGGGCACTTTGGTCATGGCTCAGTATTCACCCCTCTCTAAACATCAGCAACTGGCCGAGTTACTTAAACTAGTGGTGAGATGAGATTAGAAGAAGAATGGGAAGGACTTGTGTGTGCCTTAACGAGTGCTGATGGGAATATTACTAGTTTTATTTATTACCAGTTTAGTAAAACACCTGAGGAATAACCTCATGCAACGCAGCGTTACAGCAACCTCTTGCCTAGAGGCGGGACAGCTCGCCCTGCGGCAGGGCCTGGCTGTGCCACTAGGGCACTCCTACAAGTCCAGCCGTTGATCCCAGAATCAACATCCTGTTGATCCCAGGAGCCTCCACCATGAAGTCACCCCCATGGCCTGAGCCTCAGGTAGTCAGTGAGTGTGTGAGCAGGAGGCTCCTCGCTCGCCTCCGGAGAACGTTCACCAGTGGCACTGGCCGCTGCGGGGCTTCCAGAAGAGCTTGGTGCTCCCACAGGCGTCACTGAGAGGGCCTGCCACGTGTCAGGGAAGCCCCTCCCAAGGTCACTGTGTGCCGATACGTTAATCCYAGACAAGGCCAACATTAGGCACACTGGTTTGTTTCCAAAACCCGTTCCAAAATCTGTCACATAAGGAATGTATGATTCACTTGGCTGCTCTTTCTGTACATCAGCCAAAGTTCATGCTGCTTGTAACATAATGATTATAAAACTAATGGCGCATACAGAAGAATGGAATTATTTTATTTTTCTTTTTCAGACACACTGTGGCTGTGCTTCCTGCCATTATCCAGATTTTGAGTTTTATCCTGGCCTGCAATGCTATTCCAGAGCTGCAAAGCTTTTATCTCTGCCATGCATTGTCAAAGATTAATTAAGATGCTTGCATAGGCAGAAGGCAGTAAACTGTAGTATCAGTTTAAATGGGAATTAGCAAATCCTCATTGTACATTCCAGCCCTGGTTGCCTTGATTGCAGGCAAAGATCTATTAAATTTGTTTTGCAATTGGCAGCAGTAATTTGAGGCATTCTTTTTCAGGGGAGATTGATAAATATTGACGTCCAGTAATAAAATACAGTATCACCTTTGGGCTTAATTCTCCAGAATGTTTAGTTAGCTGCTTTTGCAGATTAATCCTATTTGCACGGGGTAATAAGCCCTTGTGTTGAAATCTGTTAGGCAAGAATTAGAATCCACACTCCATTTAACTCAGATTCCTATTCCATGTTCGGAGAAAAGGAAAACAAACTAATGGCAAAGGCGGGAGCCCCTTGTAGTCATGGGGCAAGCAGGAGGACAATCAGTGCTCACCTCTCCTCCATGGGCTGGTCAGTCCCCAAGAGAAACAGGAACATGGGACAGCAGGAGGAGGCAGGAGACATGGCAGCTCCTGGGAMAGGAAGGGAACAGAAGATGAACTGCAAAAACGAGCAGTGGCCAAGGGACAGGGTGGGAYTGAGAAGGGCCAGGGGCATCCAGCCCGTTTCAACCTTCAGTGAAGTGCATCATGAAGGTGCATCATCCCCAGGTGGCTGCATCATGAAGAACATGAGTAGAATAGCATCAGTGTCAGGATATCAGTTTCCTTTTGAAGTGATATAAATTTTATCTTCCTGATAGAGGTGTGGAGGACTTTGAAATTTTCTATGCAGAAATGCAGAARAGTGGGAACAAATGAATCTGCAAGATAAAGAAAAGGAGGTGTTTTGAGCAAAGATAACTTGTATAGGTAGAAAAGGCCCTTGTGATGCTCCGCATCTGCTCTTTTTCATGTCCCAAAACACAGAAGTGGTTGCTGAATTAGGACAGGTCAGATTTTACATGTCTGACAGAGACTGCCCCAGCCGTCATCCCTAGTCCCAGAAGTTAATTCCCTTCCCTGCTAAAAATTTCCTCCATCCTTGCTCTGGCTGCTCAATTTCTAATGGATTATTCTGAGAGCAGCTTTTCTGTAGGGTTTGGTAATGATGTCTGCAAGGTGAAGAAACATGTTATATTAGCTGTCAGCTTGCCCTAGAAGATGCGCATCTCTCCATCTTCTCTTTAATAAGCAAA